ACATTCTTAATTGAGGTTCAAAAGTTTCCAGCATACATGGTTATTTTCCGATATTTTTTTGTTTTAGCAAGAAGTTTGTGTAAAACAGCTGATTTAGATGAATTTTCAGCAGATTATTTTTTCTTTTTACACATTTTTCTGTCTTTACGGATTTTTTATTATTTTTTAACAATCATTCAGACATAATAAGCTTCTTTTGACATATTCAGTGTTTCTCTCTCATTGTTCTATCAGCTGTTTATCAGACAGGCTCTGACTGAGTCCAGGTCTTCGTACCTGGGCGTGATGTAGGCCTGCAGGTCTGTTCCCGCCTCCGGGGCTATCGGAGCGTCGCTGGCAATGTTGAGGAAAATCAGGTAAAAGGCAACAAAGTGAGTGATGAGCCCCAGCAGCACCACCGGGTTCCTCCCAAACCGGTTGCACTTGTTCAGCATCCCGAACACGCCCCCTCCTGGCCAGACGGAGAGAGAGAGAGAGAAAGGATAAGCCTCGTGACTTCTCTCAGGTTGTTCCTCCTTTATAAAGAAGCACTGAGGACTCACCTAAGATCTCGCCGATGCCGATGCAGATGCCGGAGATGCCGATCAGGCCCTTTGCGTCCTGGCCGAACCGCGTCATGGCTCCGATACACGTCCCGTAAACCCCGCTGTAAAAAGTGAGCTCCAGGCCTGACAGAGCAGCCGGAGAATGAATTCAGACTCATCAGTTATATTACACACATACATTGTTAGTTTGACTTCCAGATGCAACGACACACCTTAAAGGGACAGTTTGGGTTGGCAGAAAAACTTTAAGCATCAGTTTAAGTGTAAGCTATATTATAAACCCTTCCTTTGGCACTACATTGTCTCAACCTATAACTGCTGTATTCCTGCGCTTAAGACCACAATTACACCACAGAAGATGTTCTTAATATAGCACATTTAAACTGATTCTCCCTGTAGATGCAGCAGCTGGTAGCTCCTTCATCAGTGAATGAGGTCTGTGGTTGGTAGTCCAGCTCCTTTAAACTTCTTTGTTTTAATCTGCTTTCAAGCTTTTGTTGTCGTGGAAAAAGACGACCTTATAAAACCGTGGCTTCTAATTTATCATACGTAAACAAAAACGTAATCCAGGAGCTCAGCAACAGGAAATCCGAAAACGCCTACAGCTTCACTGGAAAGGGAAGGTGGGGGTTTTGGATTAAAGCAATCAGGGCTCGCTCCACAGGCGGGTGCAGTCGCCCCAAGAGGGAGAGGGAAGGAGGAGGCCGGGGAGAAGCGTCTCCTGGCTAAAGTCTGACCGCCGTCTACCTCACACAAACTGTCCCTTTAAAGCGACTCGTTGTGATTTCTCCCACCTGTGTATCCTATAGAGAAGCTCAGCAGCAGCATCTCCTTGGTGACGAACATTTTACACGCTTTGACTGGAAAAAAAAAACAAAACAAGAAGTTAGATGTTAACACGTGGAACAGATCTGTTACAGCAGAGCTCCTGAAGCGAAATGTTATTTTAATGAAACTTACAGAAAGCGTCCAGAGCTTGTGAGCAGAGGCTCGGCTGAGGCGAGCTGTAAAACACACACACACACACACACATACAGATATTACTGCGTGGGTCTTTCTGTCTTAGAGCTCTCTGTCCTCTCGACCTTTTCACAGGCTCATCATTTTTTTTCTTCCTCGGGACATTTTCTCATCCCTAAGCTGCCCTCGGTTGCCGTGGCGACTGTATTGCAGCAGTGACACCACAAAAGGAGAGCGTTTGCAGTTAACAAAGGTCACCTGTCTCGTCCTGCGGGGGCTCAACTTAAAAGAAGATCACTCCTGCTCCGAGTGAGACGACCATCTGTCTACAATAGTATAAAATACAGGCGACTTTCTGACAATCTATGGAGTTAATTTGTTGAAAGTTTTGTTCAATAATTTTAGGTTAAGAGATGAGATTATTCCAGAAAAGAGGCACAGCAGCAATTAGACAATAAATATCTGTAATCAGTGTTCAGGGTCCCTGTGCAGTGAATTATTTAGGATTCACCCCTCACAGCTTCACTGGGCTCAACCTGAGTTGCTACAGCTGCATTTTATTTTATTTTACACAGCAGGCTCATGTGATATCCTGTATACTGCACTTTGTTCATTACATGTGTCTTACCAGGAAACCTGAAGACATAATTACAAAACAATGTGAGGATCTTTCTACAGACACATCAGGATGCTGCCCGGTGACAATCCAGTGCAAAGTCTCTCTCTGTGTTCTTTAAGCAGTTAACTGTCTGTATTTGTTCTCTTATTCAGCATTAACCTCTCACCTGTTTGATCCCCTTATATTGTCTTTGCATCTTTTATTCAATATACATGAAGCTCACACTTCAAAGTCCGACCTTGAATTCTTAAGATTTTTGGGTTTCAGTCATTTTTAGCTGCAAAACAGATCTGATCTCCTGTGAACGTTTATCCAGAAACTAATATTGTTGCAAATTAAAGCTCCAGTATGAAACATTTATGAGGATCTATTGACAGAAATGTAATATAATATTAATAAGTATGTTTTCATTAGTGTATAACCACCTGAATATAATAATCTTTGTGTTTTTGTTGCCTTAAAATGAAACGTTTTTATCTACAGTGGATCCTCTTCCAACCCCAGAACAACAAACCAAACACTGGATCTGTAAAAGCTTTTCAAACACAACTCATAATTTTTAAGAGTTCTGTCATTTTCCAGGACTTCTTTGTGACCCGTAAGTGACACACACACACAGTAACAGAGCTCCAGGTTTTCCAGGACTCACCTCGCTGTGCTCTCTGTGGATTCGGCCTGCAGCAGCGACTCCGACGCCTCAGAGGAAGCGGGTTCGGGGTCAGGCTTCCGGATCAGAAAGAAGAGGAAGCAACCCACCAGACTGATCACCGTGAGCGAGATGAACACCGTCTGCCGGTCCTTGTCTGAGAGACACACAGCAATGAGTCACACGCTCAAAATGAAACTTCATGTGAGAAGTCGTGTGAACTCTATGAATAGCAATGAATTCATGCACATGAGGCAGATATTTCATCAAATACAGCTCGTTTCCTACCCGTTATGTGATCGTGTCCGTGCCAGGCGCAGTATATGTACAGATTTCCAAAGAATAAGCTGCAAACAGATGAGACATGTAAAAAAAAAAGTCTGAATGCAAAACCACCAAACATTCATTTCTCCACGAAGACTCACCTGAACTGCAGCAGCGCCCAGAAGATGCCGCTGTTTCTCCCGATGGTGCTGTCAGTGGAGTTGATGGCGAGCACATTTCCCTGCGCCGTCCACAGGACTGAAACACAAAACACAAAACAGGACACATGAACAGGGAGAAGACGTATTTCTCTTGGTAGAAACTGATGTTAGAAAGCCTCTCTTTACCTGCTGCTCCTATTCCGACTAACACCGACGCCGTGTAGAAGCTCCACGTGTACGGGTAGATGAACATAGCGATGTAGCCGCTGCAGGGACAAAAATTAAGAGATGTTAGAGGTTCTGTATGAAAAAGGATGGGGCAGGTGTTGTGTTACTCAGTGCTGGTTTACCTGTACAAAAGCCCGCTAAAGAACATCGACAGCTGCGGCCCGATGACGGTCACCACCGAAGGGGCGATCAGGTTGGAAGCAGAGAAGACGCCGTAGATGATGGCCATGCTGCAGGCGACACAAGATGCTTTGTGATGAGATTTTAGAGGGTTTTTCCCGCCTAGTGCTTCCAAAGGTTGCACATTAAGATTGAGGTCATGAAGGATGCTTCCCAAAACTGAACTTACTTTGTTCCCCTAAAGTGGTTTAACTATGATTGAATTAAATTAAGGATTACTGAGAGAGACAGATTCGATTAAAGAAGCTGAATGCAGATATGAATGCTGGGAAACATCTGCGCAGATGTTGTGTACTGGAACGTCAGATAAAAACCAAAATGTGAAACTAAATAATCAAAGTGTATTTGGTTTTAAGGACAGTTTACCTCGTGTATCCGCTCCCGTGGAACTCGGTGCTGTTGAAGCTCTTGATAACTGTTTGCTGTAAAGATGAAGAAAGACTGTTTAAGACTCAATACGGAGGATTTATCTTATCTGAAGTTCTGTGCTTCAATCTGGAATGTGCATCAGTAAATCCAACCTACCTCTATGTTGCCACATGTCTGAAAAGCGGTGAACATGAACATAAAGCCGAAGCCCAGAACAATGATGTTCAGCAGCCTCTTCCCCTCTGGACTCATTTTGCAGTATTGCAGGGAAGTGATTACACACACAAACAAAAACAGGAGAGAACAGCACGTCTGAAAATAGGAGAGAAGAAGTACAAATCAGAAGCAACATAAAGAAGAAAAAAAAAGCTTTTACCAAACTTCATTCAAAAATCTGCTGATTTATCACTCACACATGCGCACTTAAGACAGTGTGACAAGTCCTAACCGCTTCCTGGTATTTATGATCTGACAGCGCACACTCATCACTTCGGCAGACACTAAACATACACATCAGCAATTTATCTCGATAAAATATTAACTTTTAGGAGAGTTTCCCGCAGCGCGCCGCCATATCTCTGTCTGTTGTAGTGGATTTCAGCCTGGAAGTGACTGTTTAAATTACCTTAAAATAAGAGTTGTTTGGTTAACGAACCGCCAGCCGAATTATAAAGTGGATCGTTTGGATCACCATGAAAACTTAAAATGTGTCCTAACATATATTATATGAGCCTATAAGTAGATAAAGGTTTAATTGACGGATTCTTAAAGCAGCGTCGGCGAGCATCGAAACACAAGCTGACATAAAGAATGTTTTCTTTCGTCTAATCTTTAATAATAACCTTTAAAGGTTTGAACCAGTAAAGAAACACAACTTACCACCGATGCTGAAGCTGCTCAGCTAACCCCTGCAGCCGCTCCTCGTTGTTCTGGACTCAGTGTGTAATTAATAATAAATAATAATAAATTAAGAACATAGTTTGCTCTTTGTGAAAAGGTC